GTAATTACATTGGCGGACCAAGGGTTGGGATTGGGAGGTAGAGGAGGTATATTCTGTGGGAACTCAAAGGCATCCTCCATGTTGGTGAGTCGGAGGGAAGAACAAAGTTGACACCATGTGATCGACAATAGGTTGCCTCCTAATCATCAAAGCAAAAGAGATGGGGAGGCATCCCACACTGTACTTTGACGACGGGACTCTGACTTTGAAGGTAAATGGCATCAATTCATTTTTGAGTTGCGTATAACAGATTTCAGGCGGGAGACGGCACTTTGTACAATGTCTACCGACACCACCTCACCACCAAGAGCGAGTTTTTCAATGGGATGCTCAGCTTGCCGATTCCCGGCCATCCACCCCCCTCTCTCAGAGACAGCACCAGAGATTTGCTTGAGAAGGCAAGGAAATCTGGTGTAGATGGCTCGAATGACGAGATGGCAGTCGAGCTTCCCGCACAATTCACCCCTACGGAATGTGAAAAGTTCCTGGAGTTTGTTTTCAATACCAATGGGTGAGTCGCAAAACCATCAGTGGCAAGAAGGGAGGCTGACCCGGTGTAGCTGGTCACCAGATGTCCCAAGACTGGAGGACCTCTGTGCCGTCCTGAAAACAAGCGACTTCTTCGGGTGCGAGACTGGGGTTGAATACACAATCCATCACCTGCAGAACCATGGCGAACTGGGGCCGCCTCTACGTTTCCGAATGGGATGCGACTACCACATCGCCAGCTGGGTTACCCAGGCCTTCGACGAGCTGATGACGATCCCGATCAACGACGTTTCCGCTGAGGACGAACAGATTCTCGGATGGGAGGCCTATCGGGCGTTGGCAAAAGCACAGGCTCAGGTTTTGGACCACCGCATGTCCCTCGCGGTCTGCCCCCCTGCAGCGAGTCACGTCTCCTGGTGCTTCAATCATGCCTACTGTGCTGCTCAGTGGGAGAACAGCTGGATGTCCATGTCCGGCGTGTTGGGGGACTTGATCAAGTATGAGCTCCCGGGGGCGGTAATTCATGACAAGCTTGGTGACTATCCGACTGGTGCAATGACCGGAGACTGCCACGCTCTGACATGCAGCAAGGTCAAGGAGGGCGTAGGGAGGAAGAGTGACTTGAAGAAGGAGGAGGACATTATAGACAAGGCATTGGAAGCTCTGATTAAGTTGATAGGCTAGACGTGCACCAGTTTTGTATATAAATACGTAAAAGTGTGTGCGAAAAGTGGGAAAATGCGCGCGAAACAGTGTAAATATGTGCGCGAAAAAATGGGAAAAATATGCGCGAAAAGAACTCAAAATTTTGCGTGAAAAGTCTGCAAACCAGTGCGCGAATAGAGCCGGGAATAGTGTGCGAAAAGTCGTCAAAAGTGCGCGCGAACACACTTTCCTGTATGATTATTTTTTATTGCGCGCAGGATTAAATGTACAAAGTGAACGGTATATAGCGTCGACTGGTTCACGAGTCTACTCTGGCACCTGCATTCACAAACTGGGGGGACACCACCTGCTACGCACCAGGAATCCCTCCTGCCGAATCCTCAGCTCTCCGCTGGTCTTGAAACCGCAGAATCACCCCATGCCGAACCAAATTAGCGCCTCCGGGAGAAGAGCTCCATACCTTTCCCGCCTTCGCTGGCTTTCGTTACTTATGTCACCACTATTCTTGGAATACCCCCGGCCTAAAGCTCTCTGCACGAACTTGATCGGGTGCAACGTGATATATCCTGGGCTCCTTGTACTCTCCTTTTCTCGATTCGTGAATTCTTCAGGCCTCGCGCAACGCCAAATTCCACAATCGCTATCTCAATGCGGGACAATGCTCTTTTTTAAAACGGTCAACTGACCACGGGCGCATTACTTCGAGTATTCAATTATCCGCGTCTGCCACTGAATCACCGTTCTTCCCTGCGTATTTATGCATAGACTACGCCCCTCTCCAAGACCTTGAGCTTCCTTCCCCACTCGCGAAATGGCAGATACTCCCGTGAAGTCTGCGCCTGGCGCCAACGCTTACATCGAGCTAGTCGATCCTAAGCGAAAGTGGTACAACAACAGGCGGTGAGTCGGCGATCTTCTACCTGCATAGTCATCCTTATCATTGGCCGCAGACTTATCGCGCTGAATGGCTGGATCGTCTTACTGTGCGTCCGCCTCGCAGAAAACTCTTCGTTCCAATCTGCTCACACTACTCTGCAGGCTAATCACATCGTCTGCGAGTGGGTACGACGGGAGCATGATGAATGGGCTCCAGTCCCTGCCGCAGTGGGAGGTGTACTTCAACTTCCCGACCAAGGGCAAACTCGGGCTACTCAGTTCCATCCAAGTGCGGCCCGGTTCCCGCAGAACGGTCAGGTTAATTGATTCCTCCGGATCCCACAGAATATCGGAGCGCTCGCCGGGTATCCGTTCGCGCCATATCTCTGTGACGGCATCGGCCGTCGTCCGACGGTATTCATTGGCGCTTTGATGATGGTAATTGCGACCGCCATCCAAACCGCGTCTCAGTCCGTGGGCATGTTCATCGGCGCGCGGTACTACTGTTTCTTAAATCCTGACCCCAGCGTTATCTAAATTCCTTGCAGATTTCTCATTGGCTTTGGCCTCACCTTCGCTGGTAAGTAGCGTAGCCCACTTGAGCATCTGTGCTGAGTTAGGTGTCGTCATCAGCCAGCGCGGCGCCAATGCTCGTCGCAGAGCTCTCATATCCCAAATATCGTGCTCCCCTCACATCGGCCTACAACTCTCTGTGGCACTCGGGGTCCATCGTGTACGCATCCACCTCTACCTATTCGTTCTATTCGGCGGGCTGATAAACTGCTGTACAGCGCGGCATGGGCGACCTTCGGATCTTTCAAGATCAATAGCACCTGGGCCTGGCGCCTGCCTTCCGTCCTGCAAGCCGTGCCCTCGCTCGTCCAAGTGCTCTTGGTCTTCTTTGTCCCGGAGTCCCCGCGGTACCTCGTGAAGAAGGGCAAGGAAGCGCAAGCGCTGAAGATCTTGGCATATTATCACGCGGACGGCGACGAGTACTGTTGTGTTATTTGTGGCCATACTTCGATTCTGACGAGCAACACAGAAATGACGCGTTGGTTCGCTACGAGTTCGAGGAAATCAAGGCAGCGATGGAGTTTGACCGCACAGGTATAGCTACCATTTCTATGTCAGCTTCACTGAGTTCATGGCGGGCCTTTCATCAGTAGCTACAAACGTTGGTTGGAAGTCGTTAATCTCCACCGCGGGCAACCTAAAGCGCGTCCGTATCATCATCGCGATCGCGTTCTTCTCCCAGTGGTCCGGCAACGGCCTCGCCTCGTACTACCTGAACAAAGTCCTTTCCGACATCGGCATCACAAACCCCACCACACAGGTACCCGTTCTCTAAATGATCTCACCCACAAGGGAAGCTCATATTTGCTCTCTTCAGTTGCTACTGAACGGCATTCTCAGCATCTGGAGTCTCGTGTGCGCGCTCACCGCATCAACAACAGTGGAGCGCTTCGGCCGGCGCGTCCTCTTCCTGAGCTCGGCGTGCCTCATGACGCTCTTTTTCACGATGCAGACCATCTGCTTCGCGCGCTTCACCATCAGCGGGAACAAGAACGCCGCGAATGGCGTCATCGCGTTCATATTCCTATACTCTGCAGCGTACAAGTACGTCTTCGTTCCTCATTAACTTCTTCAAGAGGAGTGCGGGCTAAATTGCATCCAGCCTGGCATTCTCCCCACTCATCGTCACCTATGCGCTAGAAATTCTGCCGTACAACATCCGCGCGAAGGGCTTCAACGTGTTCAACATCACCATCTCCATTGCCCTTATATTTAACCAATATGTCAATCCGATCGCATTGTGTGCGTCTGCTGTACTTCTTCCTCAAAACACGGACACTGACAGAGTGGGTGGATGAACAGCGGCGCTCAACTGGAAGTACTATGTCGTGTACTGTGTGTGGCTCGTCTGCGAATGCGTCTTCCTCTATTTCTGTGCGTCTTCTGTTAACACTTTGTATCCTTCGGTTGTAACGATCATCCATCGTTAGATCTTGTCGAGACGAAGAACCACACACTCGAAGAGACTGCGGCCATATTTGACGGGGCCACGGAGAAGATTGCCGATTCTGCTGCGACGCATGTGGTCGGGAAGGACGGCGGAGTCATGGGTGGCGACGAGAAGGGATCGAGCGAGTTTGTGGAGAAGGCCTGAATGGTATCTTCCGTTTCTTCGATCGATTGTCCAATGAGAGTAAGGGTTGCTAAGATATCTGCTGAGGTTGTACGTTTAACGCCGCTCAGACTGAGCCCGAACTAAGGACCCCTAGGACCTAGTGCCGAAGTGAATTGCCCCTGCATTTCATTTGTGTAAAATAGCAAAAGTCACTGCAGGCATTCCTGGTTCGAGTCCAGGCTAGCTCGTGCACCTTTCGAGCAAAACAGTTTTGTATCTCGCCTTGGAAAAGCTACATCTATATGGGTTTAATTCAGAGGAAAGAGCCCTAGTGGCGAAAGGCATCGCACCTTTCGAGAATTACAAGTCCAGAGGGAGGTACTGGTTCGAGTCCGGGCTAGGTCGTCAGGCGGGCCATTTTTTGACCGCCTTGCTTGCAGAAAAAGCCACAAATATACGGGGTCCGCTTTATAGGAAATCGGACCTAGTGGCGGAAGGAATCGCTCCTGCATCTGATAGATCGTACTGAGAGGCTGTCGCAGACATTCCTGGTTCGAGTCCAGGTTAGGTTGTGCGTAGCGTTGCCGACCGGATTTTTTGTCATCCCACCAGCCAATTAGTAAAACCTGCATATCTGAGGTGAGAGTTCCAGAGGGAAGGGACCTGGTAGCGGTCCTGCGGAATGAAACGCCCCCTCAATTATTGAGCTTTCGCATCGTTCCATTATTTGAAGGGGATCCTGGTTCGAGCCCAGGCTAGGTCATACGCATGGGTAACAGAAAGTTTTGACGTCCCGCCTGCGAAAAGCTGGATATGTGAGGGATCCCTTCATTGAGGAGGAGACGTAGTGGCGGAAGAAAATCGCACCTGCCTCCAGCGTTTAGCAGGAATGGGTTCCAGCAGGAATTCCTGGTTCGAGTCCAGGCTAGGTCTTGCTCGATTGCAGACGCCATACTTTTTTATCATCTCGCGTCCAACAAAAAGCTCCAAGTATGGGGTCGACTTCAGAGGAAAGAGACCTAGTGGCGGAAGGCACCGCACCTGCATCCAGTCGATGCTGAGGAGAGATGAGTTACAGCAGGGATCCCTGGTTCAAATCCAGGCTAGGTCGTGAATAGTTGTTACAGCCGTTTTGGAAACTATAGAGGGGTTTCGTAAATTCTTGATGCTCGATTTTTGCTTACCTCTGTTTGCTGTCGCGTCATCGGCTCCACACCTCCGAACCACTGCCGAATTGTGTTTGTCTTGTGTGCAACCCCGGCTGGGCTTCAGAGGCTATAAGTGTGTGTGTTCTGACAAGACTGAAGCCCACAAGTGGGCTTTTGTGGTTTAATAGCTCGGCTTGCAACCTAATGTGAACTACGACGGTGTACGCAAGAGGTACCCACCTGAGAAATTTCGCACACTAGGTATAAAAACTGAATTAAGCTGGTCTCCCCCCCTCCCTCCCTCTTTACATAAGCGCTTTGTAAGCGCACGTGATTCCCCAAAATGGTAGTTCCGATCAGTTGTCGTGCAGTTTAAAGCAATTATTCGCCGTAGTGAAATAGAAAGAGTTAATGTATCACTTATATCTCCGCTCTGCCTGTTTGTGAGACCTCTCCCCGGCATTTGTGCAGCATACATCATTGCAATATCACTCTGAAGGGGAGCCGAATTGGGATGACCGCCACCAATCATGCTCGTCGCTTACCCGAGCGTATCTAATGGTATCTAAAGCCAAAAAATGGAGGGGAAAAATAGGGATTTTTTCAATTGTCTTAAAACATGTTTTTGAGGTGTTCTGCGGCTTTTCCAAAAAGTGAAATAAGGACCTCCATCCCCCCCCCTCCCCTCTTACCTAATGTCTCGGCATTCTCCGGCGGGTACCCCTTGGGTGTACGGCAGTGTGGAGCCGCTCTTAATTGACAAACAGAGGTAAGCAAAAATCGAGCATCAACGATTTACGAAACCCCTCTATAGTTTCCAAAACGGCTGTATATAGATCATTTAGTACTTCACTCCAAAAAATCCTGCACGTATGAGGGGTAAGTTTCATAGAGAGGAGACCTAGTGGCGGAAGGCATCGCACCTGCATAAGTTAGAAGGCGTCGGGTGACTTGCAACAGGCATCCCTGGTTCGATTCCAGGTCATGTCGCAAGACTTCGGGATTTTTTTAAATTATCTCACGGGCAAAACGCTACACATATTACCTGCATATAGGGAAGAATAAATGATGAAGTGCAGTAGATATTCCTGGTTTGAATCCAGGCTAGGTCGTGCGCGTCACGGTGATCTTTTTTTAAACTCGCCTGTCAAAAACTGGATGTATGGGGGTTCAAAGGGAGAGAGACCTAGTGGCGAAGGGATCGCACCCCGGATTACTACAGGTACGTCTAGACGCTATCCGAGGAGGTCCTGGTTCGAGTCCAGGCTATATCATGGGGAGTTTTGTTCATCCAAGAATTCTTTTTATTGTCTCGTCTGAAAAGAGATGTATGTAGAGTGTGAGTTCTATAGGACAGAGACCCAGGCGGAGAACGGAATCGCGCTTGGATCCAGGATATGGATATTGAAGTGATACATTGGAGCAGCTATTCTTGATTCAAATCCAGGCGTGCCTGGTTCGAATCCAGGCTAGATCATACGCATGGGTAAAAGAAAGTTTTTGACGTCCCGCCTGCTAAAGGCTGGATATGTGAGGGATCCCTTCATTGAAGAAGAGACCTAGTGGCGGAAGGCACCGCATCTACATCCAGTCGATGCTGAGGAGAGATGAGTTGCAGCAAGGTTCAAATCCAGGCTAGGTCGTGAATAGTTGTTATATAGACCATGTTTAGTACTCCACTCCAAAAAATGCTGCACGTATGAAGGTCGAGTTCATAGGCAAAGAGACCTAGTGGCGGAAGGCACCGCACCTGCATCAGTTCAGAAGACTCCGGGTGACTTACAGCAGGCGTTCCTGGTTCGATTCCAGGCTAGGTCATGGATGGGTTTCAAGTGATTTTTTAAACAATTAGCCCGCAGCTCCAGGTATGGAGAGAAGGAGACCTAGTGGCAAAGGGATCGCACCTTCCAACAGTAAATGGTGCGTTGTTCCTGTGTCGAAGAAGGTCCTGCTTCGAATCCAGGCTAGGTCGTGAAGATTTGGGAACATACACCATTTTTAGTGCTCCGCTCCAAAGAATGCTGCATGTATGAGAGGTGAGTTCCATAGCGAGCAGACCTGGTAGAAGGAATTGCATCTGCATCCAGTAGATAAGATAAATTCGACGCTGCAGGCATTCCTGGTTCGAATCCGAGCTAGGTCATGGGGAGTTTGCTCATCCAATCCTTTTGCTGTCTAGTCTGCACAAAAGCCATATATATGAAGGTCGAGCTCAGAGGGAATAGACCTAGTGGCGTAATGCATCGCACCCTCGATTATTGCAAGGTAATCTCAAACACTATTCGAGGGAGGTCCTGGTTTGAGTCCAGGCTAGGTCATGCGGAGTTTCAAGTTGTTCCTTTACTTATCTTGGCTCCCCAAGCGCTGGATACAGGAGGCATGAACTCAGAAGGAAGGAGGCCTAGTGGCGGGATGTAACGCGCCTGCATCCAATAGATGAGAGAAATGAGCGACGGCAGGCATTCCTGGTTCGAGTGTAGAGCGCAATGCCAGAGGAGACTAGAATAACAATGTAAGCTAGGTAGAGTCAGTACGAGGTAAGTACGAATATAACGAGGGAACGTACATCTCAGCAGGCGTATAACGACCAACTGAGATGTACCACGTAAGCAGAAAATTTTGTAGGTACTGTACGGCAACTAATATAACTATGAATAGAAGTAACTCCATAAAGGTAGACGGCGTAAGCTTGTACCTCAACATCGAGTCCAGGCTAGGTCGTTCGCCGACTCCCAACCTTTTTAAACTTAAGTTTTATTGCGTACCTGCCTTGCTTCCCGGATTTAGGTCGCCCCACCATAGAGAGAGTCGTCCTATAAGTATTCCTTGCGGGCATTTAAGTAGAAGCCGCAGGTGATAGATGCCCGTGGCTGTGCCCGTGGCAGCCGAACAACCACGATGTCTTCCCAGCGACCATCCATCCATTCATTTCGCTCTCTCCTCTCACTCTCACCTCATACACGCTTTTTTGGTAAGTCCAGCCTGTATCAAGGGGAGAAGCTCATACGTGATACGCAGGTGGCCAGTGATCCTCGTGTAAGATACCGGAAGATCTTGGGAAGATCTCGAAGGAAGGAAGAAGGGTATTTTCGTCGGTGAGAATTTGGTGAAAATCGGTGAGATGGATGGATGGACGGTGGATGGATGGCTGATATATAGTTGGGTTTCAGTCTTGACGGCGACCGACTTGAAGGACACGGACGACGTTCAGCGCGACGTGTGAGTCTTCGTCCAGTTTTCTTCAAGTTGTTGTGATTCAAGACTGACACTTTTCTACTTCCTTTCTTTCCAGCATCCTTTCTAAATCTCTGGCTTCTGCCCAAATTCTATCCATAGGACCCTGCACACGCCCACGCGCAGTTCACGCGCCGACGCGACGCGTGCGATCACGGGCATTTGATAATTGACTCGGTCGTCAAGGCGATCCTCGGGCTCCACCAACCGCAACCGAGGCCCGCTCTCTTTTTTCTCTCGTCCGCTACCCGCTCTGAGTCTCTCCTATCGGCCTCAATCTGGACCTGACCCGAAAGGGGGGAACCAACGTCAGACGAAAAAAGCAGGAAGCACTGAAGCAGAAAGGAAGCGGGATGCTGCGCCGCCGCCGTTCGCTTGCTGCGCTCCTCTCGTCGTCGTCCGCGTCGTCGGCCTCGGCTTCGGCAGAGGCGGAGGAGGACGTCCCCCCGCTGCCGCTCGGCCTCACGCGCGCTACTCCGCGCGCGGTGAACGGAGTGAAGAGTGGTGTGTCCGGTGGGGCGAAGAGCAGCGCACCGCATACGAACGGAGCCGAGACGAATGCGAACGGGCCGAAGAGCAACACGCTCAAGAAGAGCGGGAGCATCAACCGCGGCGCACCCGCACTCAGCAGCGTCAAGAGCGCTCCCTTGAGTAACGGGAAGGGCAAGGAGAAAGAGGGCCTCATCCAGCGCGTCTCCGCGCTCTTTCGCGTCTCCTCCACCTCCTCGTCCCCCGCGAAATCCTCTAAACGCGGTGCGTCTCCCCCCTCCTTCTCTTTGCGTTAGGTGCCTGGTGCTGACACGCGTGTATGCGTATTTAGGTGGATTCAAGCCGACGCCGCGGTACAAAGCGGGCGTGGCGTCCACTCCCGACGTCCGGCGCGCGAACGCCAAACAGCTCGCGTCCTCTTCGACGGCGGACGAGGAGGAGGAGGACGACATCCGGCGGCCCTCGGGCCTCGGGCGCGCTGCGTCCCTCTCGCGCTCGCGCTCTCCTTCCTCCCGTATACGTCCCCACCCGCACGCCCACGCGCTCGTCGAGGGCTCAGAGGTGGGCTCAGAGGACGATGGGAACTCGGACGCGGAAGACGACATCCGGCAGCCCGCGGGCCTAGGAAAGCCCGCGTCGCTGCGCTCGCTGCCCCTCCTGCGCGACGCGGACGTGGAGGCGGAGGAGGCGCGCGCATACATGCGCCCGTGGGAGCGCGTGCCATCGCTCTCTGCCTCCTCTGCCTCTCACCCTTCTCCGCCTATGTCCACCGCGAATACATCGACGCCCCGCGCGCGCACGCGCTCCACGCCGCTCCCGTTCTTCCCCCGGGGTGGGTCCCCGCCGCTGCCGGCGCTGCCGAAGGTGCAGCTACCCGCGGCGCTGTGGGCGCGCGTGCTGCGGCACGTCGCGCTGCCGGACGCGGCGAGTGCGGCGCAAGTGTGCCGCGGGGTGTGTGGGGCCGCGCGGGGGCGGATGTATGGCGCAGTGGATCTGCGTGCGCCTCCGCCTTCCCTTGCACATGCCTCTTCTTCTTCGCTCGCATATGGGGGCGGGCCTTTC